GCCCGATGGGTGTTTGCCTCCGAAACGTTTGAGGCGGGGTGTTGGCCTCGCGGGACCACTAACTAATGGCGACAGCCAAGATGGGGTAAATACCTATTGGGAATCCTGTGACCCTATTGCCAGTACTCTAAACTAGGGGGATGAAATGAAATGTATGGTAGAATACCATATGAGCAGGTGTACGTACCTGGTAGTATGATAAATCACAGGAATAAACCGTGTGGAGCAATTATATAAGCTCGACAGCCTAAAAATGGGTAAAAGAGAGTAGTACGATGAGTGTGGGGTATAACAAGAACCAGACTTATAGTCTGTAGCAGCAATGTATAAAATTATGTTGATACCATGGGAATAGCTATGAGTGGCTCAGAAATGTTTGCATGCTTGAAAAAGACATCTGAGGGAGGCCGTGGCCTATGTACAAACAATCTATGTGTTACGTGATAATGGTGTGTAAAGGAAAACATGAAACATAGGTTATATACATATGTATTATGACTGTGTAGGGGACGTATGATTGGTTGGATCAGGACGTGTGATCCAACCCGAGTATGCATGCAAAAGGACTTATGCCTTGTGTGTCATCGTCATGACAGAGAAATGAGGCCTGTAATGTAGGCTGAGTAAATTGAAATGAAATGGATAGTTATAAAACTCCTGGCGTGGGAGTTCAATGACCTGTACCGAAATGTAACTGGTTTTATAGAAAGGGACATGGATGAGGTCATGGCCTAATTAACACATCGTTGTGTATGATATGTAGCAGAAAGACCAAAGGCAGGGATACCCCAAAATGATTTAGCATGATGTAAAGTGATGTAGATCTATATGATATGTATGTATAGCAAAGACGTATCAACCCGAGAATTATTGCTTAAATGAACCTATCCTTGTATGTATTGTATTAATAACCCAGAAATGAGGCTTGTGACATGGCTGAGTCCATACGTATAAATGGATAAGTAATGCAGACCCCTGAAAGCGTGGGAGTCAAATGGTATACACAGAAGTGGACTTGGTTTGTGGACGTAATACAATACTGACAATTGTTAAAAGTAATCAACAATCTATTTAAGCAAGCAATACTTAACCGAATGTTATATACACATGAAATGGTGAATATAATTCATGAAAGGATTAAAACGTGAACACACAGAACAGCCGAAAGCAAATGTGAGGGGAACACAGAAGTTAGAATAGTTTAACCGTATGATTTATGCGAACCAAAGTGTGTGTGAGCGTATGTAACATTTGCCGAACGGCAAAACAACCGAATGAACATTCGTTTAAATAACATGAATAGGATATGCGAAATGACTATTGAACGATTGAAAACATGTTCAGCCGAATGACCGTACGAAATGAAAAGCCCGCGAATGGCTTGAAAACATTCGTGTCATAACCAGGGAAAAAGCCGTAAAGCGAGGACCCGTGCTGTACCGTACGCCGTGGGAACCAGTCCTGGCGTGACAGGAAGGTCTGACTTACGGTTTAGGAGTCCCTGGGACGCGATCTACGACGGAGAAACGGAGTCAGAAGAAGCTGGTCGGGCGGAAAGGCCTGAACAGGATTCCTGGACACAGCTTAACGTGGTGAAACCTCCTGGATACTGAAACCAAGATGGCGTCTGAGAGAACCCGGAAGTGGATCCTCATTCAACGCTGACCTCGAACGGTAAGGAGCCAGGCAAGGGGAGTGCCTTAAGTAGGCTAGGGGTGGAAAACCAGCACCTCCCACAAATGCAGGCAAATTGCCTTAATACATATATCAAAATACACTTAGAATGATGATATATTATATATATAAATAAATAAATAAAAATAATATGAAATATACATATGTCCATATACAAAATGACATAAATGATTTCATAAATATACACGTAGACTTCAAATATATAAATATGTATATATATATATATATATATATATATATTTAAATTCTATGTGCATGTTTACATAATATTTTTACATAATTAGGTAATTTTATTGATTGCAATTTGAGGGACCTGCCTAAAAACCCAGACCGAAAGTCCAGAGAATTTAATTTGCTAGCCCTGTGTTTAACACTGTACTTTCTATGACACCCTAAAACCTGTACATGGGGAGTACTGTTTTACTTTGGCGACTTCGCTGAACACAAATATTAGTGATTTAAAACAGTAAAACATATCACAGCGATGATATTGTCAGTAAAAGTGATGTTTTTTGCATTTTTCACACACAAACGGCACTTTCACTGATGATATTATTTTTGTGATATGGTTTATTGTTCTGAAACACTAACACTTGTGTTAAGTGAAGTCTCCTAAGTATAACCATACCCTTCATGTGGAGGTTTTATAGTGTTTTTGAAAGTTACAGGGTCAAATATAAGGCTTGATTTTGCTTCTTTTTTTTACATTGAAATTTGCCAGATTGGTTATGTTGCCTTTGAGAGTGTATGGTAGCCCAGGAATGAGAATTACCCCCATGATGGCATACCATTTGCAAAAGAAGACAACCCAAGGTATTGCAAATGGGATATGTTCAGCCTTTTTAAGTAGCCACTTAGTCACAAACACTGGCCAAAATTAGCGTTCATAATAGTTTTTTGCATTTTTAACACACAAACAAATAGAAATGCTAACTTTGGCCAGTGTTTGTGACTAAGTGGCTACTAAAAAAGACTGGACATCCCCCATATTGAATACTCTATGTTGTCTACTTAAAAAAAAATTATGTATATGTGAGGTGTGATTCGGGGATTTATGACAGATAACAGTGTTACAATGTCACTATTGATAAATTTAAAAAATATATATATTTTGAAACAGCAATTTCCTACTTGTACTTATAGCCCTATAACTTGCAAAAAAAAACCATGTAAATACTGGGTGTTTTTAAACTCAGGACAACATTTTTAATCTATTTAGCAGTTTTTCTCATTAACTTTTGTAGATAAGTAAGAGATTTTCCAAAAACATGTTTTTTTTTATATTTTTCACCAGATTTTATTATTTTTTTAAAGTAAAATATATGACATGATACAAATAATTGCCCTTCTTGTCCTGAAAAACCCCAATATATCATTTGTATGGGAACCATAAATGAGAGAGAGGAAAATTACAGCTAAACACAAACACCACAAAAGTGTTAAAACAGCTCTGGTCCTTAACGTACAACATGGCCAAAACAGTCCCTTAAGGGGCTAAGTTTTGTCTTAACAGCACATTAAGGGGTTAAGTTTTGTCTACAAGTGAAATACATGCTCAATAAAGTTGAGATCAAGTGATTGACTCAGCCATTGAATAATATTCCACTTCTTGGCCTTAAAAACGCATGCGTTATAGTTCATTGTCCTCCTGTTAACATTTTCACTGAATTGGGCTGAATCTGTGCAGACAATATATCCCTAAACACTTCTAAATTCATCTGTCTGCTTATGTCTTCTGTCACATGATTAATAGACACTAGTGATCCAGTACATTAAAGCCATGAATGTCATCACACTTCTTCCACCATATTTTACAGATGATGTGGTATGCTTTGGATCACGAGCCATTCCAAGCCTTTTCCATACTTTTTTCTGCCCATCATTCTGGTACAGGTTGATTTTAGTTTCACCTGTCCAAAGAATACTTTTCCAGAACTGGGCTGGCATTTTTAGATGTTTTTTGGCAAAGTCTAATCTGACTATTCTTGAGGCTTATGTATGGTTTGCACCTTGATATGAACCCTCTCTTTGCAATTGTGAAGTCTATTCTTAATGGTAGACTTGGATAATGATATGCTTACTTCCTGAAGAGTTGTTCTTAACTTGGCTGGATGTTTTGAAGCAATTTTCTTTACCATAGCAAGGATCCTGCGATCATCCACTACTGTTGTTTTCCATGGACATCCAGGCCTTTTTGTGTTGCAGAGCTCACGAGTTTCACGAGTTCGTTTGTTTCTCAGAGTGTAACTGTTGATTTGGCCACTCCTAATGTTCCTGCTATCTCTCTGATGGATTTTGTTTTGCAGTCAAAGATGGTCTGTTTCACTTGTATTGAGAGCTCATTTGACCACATGTTGTAGGTTCACAGCAACAGCTTCCAAATGCAAATGCCACACCTGGAATCAACTCCAAACCTATTACCCACTAAATTAATGAAGTAATAGCCCACACCTGTTCATGAAACAGCTTTTGAATCAATTTTCCAATTACTTTTGGTCACGTGAAAAAGAGGGGTTCACATATTAAAAAGTTGTAATTCCTAAACCCTTCCTCCAATTTGGATGTGAAAACCCTCACATTAAAGCTGAGAGACTGCACTTTAAGCTCATATTCATTATTTAACTGTAACTGTATTTTGCTATACAGCTGAACTAATAAAACCTTTGTCAGTTTCCAAATATTTCCAGACCTAACCATAACTGAAGATGAGTTACAGAATTGTCGTTTCTCTTACATTAAGACACACACTGTGTTTGGTATTATTCACTGCTCTTGAAACTCCAAACATGTTAACATTACATGTCTATTTATGTACTAGTGAATGGTAGTTAAATGGGGAACCAAATTGCAACATTTAGGCAACAATTGTACAAAAATGTATCTACAAAAATAAAAAAACAAAGACCAAACATAGAGTAGAACAGTAATGCACTTTGAGATATTGTAATTCAATGTTGAACTCACAAGGGTATGATTAAAAGGAGCTTATCCGGTGTGTAGCTAAAATTCTGGTGATCAGTATAGCAAACTACTTTATTTGGTCACAATTACAAGATAAAATAAAATTAAAAGCCCATTATCAAATATCTGGAAGAGCTAAATCATCAGTAAAGTGCAAGTGCAAAAGTTAATATGATCCTTCTTTCCTTTAGAAATCGTGATGTCAGCATAAATTTGTGCAAAGTAAACAATGGTCTATATAAATCTCACCCTACGCATTTCGTCTCCTTGCAGACTTCCCTAGGGGTATAAAAATCAAGTCTGTCCACACAGTCCTTACATGCAATACTAAGTCTCTTAAAAATTTAATTTGGTCCGCCCCCGTATCGCCTTTTCCCAACCTGGGATGTTCCGTTCGAATTTTTGCATTCGTCTTGATTACAAAGGTGTGCGACAACATCCCGTAGTTCCCATTGGTCCTCTATCATGGAACGCACGTGTCTTCCAGTGACGTAGTGATGTCCGTGGTTATCTTCTGGATAGGAGCTCAATTGAAGAGAGGCTTTTTCTGCGCATATAACGATGATCAGTCTCTCGTCCTTAAGTCATCTTTTTGGTGGAACGCATATGCGTCAAAATTCGGAAACTGTTGTTTGCAGGAATCAAAGTCCTATATGAACAGACCAATATACATGTGAAGATAATACATAAATTACAATGGTTAAAAACTTACAAAATATACATATAGAACACCAGAAAAAGTGCATAAACAATATTTCTTATTAAAACGTGGTGTGTACAAAAAGGTGTCTATAATACTACATATAAAAAGAGAAATGTAGATAAAAACTAAATACCTGTACAAAGATATATGTGTTAAATATATATCTATTTAAAACCAATATGTTAAACTCATTATAAAATAAAGTGGAATATGTGACTATAAAAGTACTATAAAACTTGTGAGTAAATACACTATGTGGGCAGTAGAGCATGTCAAGCGACCATTAATCTTAAATTCCTCCTGGGTAACGTAACTTGTGAAGGAAGGAGTATATCTGGGTAGAAATCAACATGCCTTACATAGGCAACATGGAAAAAAAACCTTCCTTGATCTGAGTGGTGGAGGAATCCTTATTTTTATTTCTAAAGGTGCTAGGTGCTAAATGGTTAATCAGGTTTTTATACTTTTTATAAATTATGTTAGGTCTTTGTGGTAAAAGTGGACCTACATATTCCTCTTCCTGTAAGATGAGCCAATATTTCTTAATCATTTGATTAATTTGGAAGGCATGAGAGTTGGAATTGGTATTAAAAGAAAATTCTAATCTTTTGTTCAACTTCTTTGAGTTTTTATTTGTATCCAAGAGAAGGTCACCTTTTTTCATGCCCCCTACTTTTTCTACTTCCATCTGTAATTCATTCTTGGAATATCCTTTTTCCAAAAATGTATTAGTTAAAACAGATGCCTGTTCATGAAACTTTTTTGTATCTATACAGTTTTGTCTGAGACCAATGAATTGGCTCCTTGATACACCAGATAGCCATGTAGGCTGATGGCCATGGGTCACATCAAGTAAGCTATTTGTATCAGTCAGTTTGAAATATGTCATAGTTTTGATGTTTGATGGTTCGGTAAAAATAGTTAAATCTAAAAAATGAATCATCATCCTATTAATTTCAGGAGTAAAAAACAAAGAAAATTTATTGTCATTAATATAATTGATAAAAGATTTAAAGTTATCTTCTGGTTCCTTCCAAATAACTAAAATATCATCAGCATAATGCTGCAATATAATGCTGCCAGAGCACTCAATTCCCAGTGCCCTTGATCTGCAGAAAGAAATCCCCATTCAAATTCACAAAATTGTGGTTCAAAATAAAAGCAATAGATTTTAGAAAAATTCACTAAAATCCGCCTCCAAACGAACATCTTGCTCTAAAACCTGTTTAACTGCTAATAGTCCCAGTTGGTGGTCTTTCACTGAATTTAGTGAGCTTACATCGAAGGTGGCCCACATATACCCTTCCTCCCACTCTATGGATTCAAGCTCTTGTAAAAGAGGATTCGTGTTTTTCAGGTACGATTTTGCTGACTTAGTATATTTTTGTAAAAATGGTCAATAAATTCTTATATTTTAAATGTTAAACAATCAATACCACTTATGATAGGGTGTCCTAGTGGGTTCTTTTTGGACTTGTGGGTTTTAGGGAGGAAATAAAATGTGGCTATTCTAGGAAACTCTTGAAATAAAAAGGAGAACACTTGGCTATTCATAATAACCTTTATTTAGCCTCTACTAATAAAAGTCTTAGTATTTCGTCACAATTTTTATTTGGATAATTGGGAAGTTTGTTGTAACTGCTTAAATCCCTTAGCCAGGGGCGTTTTAGCCGCGAGGCAAACAAGGCATTTGCCTTGGGCGGCATTTTTCAGGGGGCGGCAAAAAACGCCGCCCCCAAATGCCCAGGGCAAATGCCTTGTTAGCCTTGCGGCTAACAGACATGCCGAGCGAGTGGGCGGGCGGCGCTGGGCGGGCGGCGCTGGGCGGGCGGCGCGCGAGGGAGCTCTTCCTCTGAGCTGTCCGCTCATCTCCCTCGCGCGCCTCAGAGAAAGGCTGGGAGCCGGAAGATGACGTCATATTCCGGCTCCCAGCCTCTCTCTGCAGCGCGCGAGGGAGCTGAGCGGACAGCTCAGAGGAAGAGCTCCCTTTCCAGCCGCCCGCCCGCCCGCCCAGCCCAGCGCCTCCCGCAGCTACTGGACCACCAGGGAGATAGAGAACCCCCACCCTCACCCCCAGCATTCCCAAAGGTAAGGGGGGGTGGGTAAATAAAAAAAAAAGTGTTAATGTGAGTGTGTGTGTGTGTCTGTTAATGTGTGTGTGTTTGTTAGTGTGTGTGTGTGTGTGTGTGTGTCTGACTGTGTGAGTGTGTCTGCTAGTGTGTGTCTGCTAGTGAGTTAGTGTGTCTGTTAGTGTGTGTCTGACTGTGTGTGTCTGTTAGTATGTATGTGTGTGTCTGTCAGTGTGTGTGTGTCTGTTAGTGTGTGTGTGTCTGACAGTTTGTGTCTGTGTGTATGTGTGTGTCTGACTGTGTATGTGTGTCTGTTAGTGTGTGTGTGTGTGTGTCTGTTAGTGTGTGTGTCTTACTGTGTGTCTGTTGTGTGTGTGTGTGTGTCTGTGTGTCTGTTAGTGTGTGTGTGTGTGTCTGTTAGTGTGTGTATGTGTGTCTGACAGTTTGTGTCTGTTAGTGTGTGTGTGTCTGACTGTGTGTATGTGTGTGTCTGTGTGTGTGTGTCTGTGTCTGTGCGTCTGTTAGTGTGTGTGTGTGTCTGTTAGTGTGTGTGTGTCTGTTCGTGTGTGTGTGTCTGTTAGAGTGAGTGAGTGTGTGTGTGTCTGTTAGTGAGTGTGTGTGTGTCTGTTAGAGTGCATGTGTGTGTGTCTGTTAGAGTGAGTGTGTGTGTGTCTGTTAGTGAGTGTGTGTGTCTGTTAGTGAGTGTGTGTGTGTCTGTTAGTGTTTGTATGCGTATCTGTCAGTGAATGTGTGTGTGTGTATTTAGAAGGCGGGGCGGGGGGAAGGGTTGGGTGGGGCTGGCGCCGGGGGGAGGGCCCGAGTTTTGTCCTGCCTAGGGCAGCACAAAACCAGTATACACCACTGCCCTTAGCAATATATAAGCTTCTTGTAAATAGAATGCTTTTGACATGATAACAATGCCACCCCCTTTATCTGCATTTTTAATAATTATGTCTTCTCTTCAGTGCCGGACTGGCCCACAGTTATATCGGGAAATTATCTGGTGGGCCGCAGCATCTGGGGCCGGGCAGAAAGCCCTAATCATCAGGCACATGTCGTTTAAATGATTTTCCCCTCAGACTGTGCCAGCCTATGTCAGTCCAAGGGGAATAAAGAGGGAGGAGCTTGGGGCTGGTGCGGCCGCAATTACTCTGCCGACGGCTGGAGGGAGACCTGTCAGTCTCCCAGCACAATGTACAGTAATTCAGGCTGCATGTCCTACCCACGCATATAAGCCTCAACTCCCAAACACAAGCCCCACCTCCACACGGAAGCTGCTGACCTCACTGGAATGAAGAGGCCAGACAATGACACCTTAGCCTACCAGTGCCAGGTAAGCTTTGTGTGTGTGTGTGTGTGCTAGAGAGTGAGCTTTTTTCTGTGTGTGTGTACCTGCTATTGAGTGAGCTTCTGTGTGTGTGCACATCTGCTAGTGAGTGAGCTCTGTGTGTGTGCCTGCTAGTGAGTGAGCTTTTGTGTGTGTGTGTGTGTGTGTGTATGCATCTGCTAGTGAGTGAGCTTCTGTGTTTGTGTGTGTGATTGTGAGGGAGCATGTGTGTGTGTGTGTGTGTGTGTGTGTGTGTACTAGTGAGGGAGCGTATGTGTGTTTGTGTGTGTGTGCCTGCTAGTGAGTGAGTTTGTGTGTGTGTGTTCCTGCTAGTGAGTAAGCTTGTGTGACTGCTAGTGAGAGAGCTTGTATGTATGTCAGTGAACTTGTCTGTAGGGATAATTTGTGTGTGTCTGAGCTTGTCTGTAGGGAGCATGTGTGTGTCAATAAGCCTGTCTGTGGTGAGTATGTGTGTGTGCAGTGAGCTTGTCTGTAATAAGCATGTGTGTGACCGTACGTTTGTCTGTAGTGACCAGGTGTGTGTCAGTGAGCTTGTCTGTAGTGAGTATGTGTGTGTCAGTGAGCTTGTCTTTAGTTAGCATGTGTGTGTCAGTGAACTTGTCTGTAGTGAATCTATGTGCTAGTGAGCTCTTCTGTAGGGAGCATGTATGTGTCAATGGGCTTGTCTGTAGGGAGTGTGTGTGCGTGAGTGAGATTGTCTGTAGTGAGTGTGTGTATGTGACTGTGAGCTTGTCTGTAGTAAGCTTGTGTATATCAGAGTTTGTCTGTACTAAACGTGTGTGTACCAGTAAGCTTGTCTGTGTGAGTCATTTAGATTGTCAGTGACCCTATTAGTGTGCATCAGTGAGCTTGTGTTTTTATGTCAATGAGTTTATGTATATCAATGAGATTGTCTGTGTGTATATATATATATATATATATATATATATATATATATTTGTGATAGGGGCAAAAAAGCTGTATAGAGTGATAGAGAGTGTAACAGATCACCTGGCACCCCGACTGGGTACCTCCGTTGAAGGATGCTCCTAGCGCGTCTTGAGGACCCCAAGCACTCTAGCCGACACCACAACCACCGCAGGCCGAACCTCTCTTCCTTGAAAGCGAAGCAGGAACAAGCTCTTACAAGAATTTAGGAACGATTAAAGCAAGGGAATATGCAGAGCATAGCAATCCCTTGTAGCAGATTCCCCCAATAAGAGACAGGACTCCAAATTAAGGGTGAAGTAGAACTGTCTCTTATTGGGGGAATCTGCTACAAGGGATTGATATGCTCTGCATATTCCCTTGCTTTAATCATTCCTAAGTTCTTGTAAGAGCTTGTTCCTGCTTCCCTTTCAAGGAAGAGAGGTTCGGCCTGCAGTAGTTGTGGTGTCGGCTAGAGTGCTTGGGGTCCTCAAGAAGCGCTAGGAGCATCCTTCAACGGAGGTACCCAGTCGGGGTTCCAGGTGATCCGTTACATTGGTGGCAAGCGGTGGGATGGCGTACTAGTGCGAGGTAAAGCAGCTCAGAGACACCGTTTGTGGAGTCACAAATTGAGGGCAACGCTAGCACACGTGCAGCGCCCCTGGGAGCAGAGGTATCCAGTGAGCAGACAAGTATGGAAGGCTCTGGTGATGATTGGCTGGCCGAGGTGAGGCAGCGAGTGGCCCAGTATGGTGATAATGTGCCCATGGATATATTACAGGCGATCTGGAACCAGGTCACAGCCAAGCGAAACACAAGGATGGACTGAGAATTCCGGCTGGTGAAAGAGAGAGCATATGCTCAGCGGAAGGAGTGTTACAGCAGCCAAAGAGAGGCTGCATTCGAGGAGGTTAACCGTTTCCCCCTGAGGCGGCCAGAGGAACCCGAAGAAGGGGTCCTCATAGACTGGTCCTGGGAAAACCCACAGATGGCAGGTGGAGATGGGACTGCGGTCTCTCTACCAGCCCTACAAGGATGCTGGGCGGTTGGCCCAGATCCCCAGCGGCAGTGTGTGTTACAGGGAGCTGAAGGTGCCGTCCTTCCTCCCCAGCGGCAGTGTGAGTTACAGGGAGCCAAAGGTGTCGTCCTTCCTCCCCAGTAGCGGAGTGAGTTACAGGGAGCCAAAGGTACCATCCTTCCTCCCCAGCGGCAGAGTGAGTTACAGGGAGCCAAAGGACGACACCTTCAGCTCCCTGGAACACACACTGCCGCTGGGGAGGAAGGACGGCACCTTCAGCTCTCTGGGACACACACTGCCGCTGGGGAGGAAGGACGGCACCTTCAGCTCCCTGGGACACACACTGCCGCTGGGGAGGAAGGACGGCACCTTCAGCTCCCTGTAACTCACTCTGCTGCTGGGGAGGAAGGACGGCACCTTTGGCTCCCTGCACCAAAAAAAAAATAAAAAATGGGTCAAATAGAGATGAAATGGATTTTCAACTTAAACACATTAACCCCTGGAGGTCTTAATAATGATTTTGAGATATGCCATTTCATTTAATCCATTTATTTCATTAATCCATTTATTTCATCTGCCTTTTCTTGGAGAAGAATACTGATCATTATATATGGTACATTATATAGAGTATTTTTTATACATGCAATGTAAATGAGAAAGTCAATAATTCATGTGGAAATTAATTAGTTATTCTCTTTTATTCTTTGATAATTTTTTGTTGTATATATTGTATTGCTCTTTAAATTTAAAGTAAAGCAAGAGAACTGCTGTAGGAATGGCTAAATTTCTACATGTTGACATTCTCATTATCTAACTATATGTGGAAACATGTACTATATAGTTAAATGTGTTTTTCTTTCCCCCCCCCCTTTTTTCTATTGTTGCCCTTTGTTCTCCTTATGCATATTGAGGATGGAGGCCCCCCCTTTTTAGGAAGTATGGGCAAAGACACAACACATTTCATTTGCCAGGAACTTTGCTCGTTCTGGAAGTGACGAGCGGATTCATTCCGCCACGTCACTTCCGGCTTCCTATCTAGGGCGCTTACCCATAAGAAAAATGGCCGCGGCGAACACGGAAGTGACGCGGATTATGACACTGCGCCACTCCGATTGCCCGAATGGACCACAGCTGAGGCGCTCTACTGTACTAGGAAGAAGCCACCTGATTGGACTATGGAAATGAAGACCCGCCTACCGGAAGAAGAATACCGGCAGATTTAAACAGCAAGATAGTGGACACAGTGAACACGATTGAAAAAGCCCACATAGCGTGGGCGAAACGCGTCTCGGAGCTGAAGCCAACATTTGGGACTTTATAGTTACTATTTTGTAAGAGTATTTTAATCTTTGATTTTACTTTTGTAATAAATTTATTATTTTTTTATATATCCCATTGGCTTTTTGTCCCATCTTGCTGTTAAAGAAGGGTAGGTGCCCCCCTTTAAAGGCACCCAAGTTTACCATCTAGAGCCAGGTTCTCATTGGCTCTGAACCAGGTGAGCACTACTATAACTATTGTCTGTGCACTACAAGTTATATACATAGTACACTAGGGTTTTTTTCCCCCTTTCTTTCTCCTTTTTCTTTGAGGAAATCTACTCCAGTTAAAGGGTGCTGTGTCTCCATACGACACTAATGTTGAAGAGATTTGAGCCTGTCCTTTCCTAGGCTCTAATCCATGTGAGTTTGACTATTGATATATTATCACAATATTTCTTTCATTTACGGATTTACACTATATTGTGTTGTATTTCTTTGTTTTATTCACATGTACATATATTCATCTGTGATTTAACCCTAATTAAGGGTAAGTGTGAACATTCAGCGCTCCACTCATTTGACTAGTACGGTCTGGATTTTTATCCAGTCTACACTGGACTCACTTTGCTTTACATTACATAGATTGCCAATTACCCGTTTGCAACATTGTTGCAAACGGTAATTGGAGGCACACTTACTCCAGGGTGGTCTGGTTGTTCGGTAGTTTCACTCAATATAATGAATGGAGTGATTCTACCGAACAAACAGGGGAATGCTGCATACACATAACACCGTTTACCGAACACATAATATTAAAGACAGCCTGAATGCAACCTGCTACACAGTCTTAAAGGGCATTGTTCCTAACAGTCATAATATGTGCACGGATGGCCCTTAAAGGGCCAGTAGCAGCAATATAAAATACCACATGCCCAAATATTGCATTCCAAAGTACAAATTCACAAGGGGCCATAGTCAGCAGGTAGGAGGCGGGCAGCCAGGCCTCTCCAATGCCCAGTGGCGAGGCAGCTTTCGCCACAGAGAGCAATATAGAAATAGCGTAATACAGAATGGAAAAAGTCGGTTGAAGTGTGCTGGAACTGACAATGCTGGTAGGTCTTTAAAATAAAGAGGGCCCATCTAAGGTTAAAAAGAGAAGAAAAAGAGGTTATGATTAAGTAGTGGGAGTTGTGGGAGGGACATGCATGGCTAGAACAAGAATGGTGTGGAGCAAGGTAAGGAAACTGTCCATTAAGTAGGGAAATCATTCCCCTCCCACAACTACAGGCAAAAGCCTTAATATTTGTGTTAGGGGCAAAAAATCCGTATAGAGTGATAGAGAGAAATATAGGAATAGCGTAATACGGAATAGAAAAAGTCGGTTGAGGTGTGCCGGAATCGACAATGCTGGTAGGCCTGTAAAATAAAGAGGGCAAAAGGGAGAAATATTGTAAGTCGTTAATACAGTCTACAATCGACATACATACTTATACCCAAGGTTATATGCTTGATGGAGTTCCAATGCTGGTTTTGGAATGTACCATGAATAAGCTGAGGACTTACAATGACCTAATGTTTAAATATGTGTAGTGGTATAATTCTGCTTGAAGCTATGGATGCCGTCCCTAACAAGTGACCAGAATAATAGAATGGTTAAGGCCTGGTCTTCTTGATTAGTGTTCTGACATAACTCATGAATTAGATATATTTGATGATTGTGTGATAATTAATTCTAAGGTGGCAAAAAGCAGACCATAGTAAAGAAAACATGACAAATATGTCGTTAATATACTGTGCTAATACTTGGTCAGAGAATACTTAACCAGGAGGAGCTTAAATGAGCATGAATCGTAATTGAAGGAAAACGGTTGAAAGTATATGTAGGTGGACTATGCTTGGATCCAACATAAATAGTCAAGCCTCTTGTTGGCTCATGCATATTGTTTCATAAGTGAGGAAAACATGTAGGTTAAGGTGCCTGTCCCTATATGAGTGATAAGGCCAGGAGATACCTGGTTGGCTGAACTAACCTCTCATGATAAACATAGAGACAATGAAGGACCGCTTACCTGTGACCTGAAATTAGTAATGGGACTTAGGTCACAGCAATCACAAGCAGACCACTAAGACCACTAAACTTGAAATACCTTATAACATGGAGGAGGAATACCGTGTACATTGATAATTTGGAATCTGCCATACACAGGAGTCATATGCTGACTAAGGTAATCCCCTGTTTGGCACCCAATAGTAGAAATCGAGTGCTCCTACCAACGCTAACTTGCAAGGAAGGTTACTCTTAAGGTTATTTTGTTTTTAGTTCACCTTTAGTTCTTTACATACCTACCCACCCTTCATCTGCTCATCTAGTTTGTCATACTCATACTCCAGACACACACAGCATAAGTACAATTGTTCACTAGTAAAATTGCTCAGCACCTATTTAGCCGCCACCAAGACCACGAAGAAGATGCATAAAATGGCCACGATCCGAATTGTCTCCTTTAACACTAGAGGTCTTAACAACCCCGAAAAAAGAACAATAGCCCTCACTGATTTTCATGGTCTCAGAGCCAAAATAGTTTTTGTACAAGACACAGATTTCCGTACAGACTCAGCACTGTCGTTAAGAAACCAGCACTTCCCTACCGGATATTTCAGTAACTATTCGGGCTCAAAATCTAGGGGGTATGAATCCTGCCTGGCAGACATGTCCCATTCACACTGTGTGACACATGGACAGATGAGGCCGGGAGATACATATTCCTCAAAGGGAAAATTGGTTATACACTAGTCACCCTGGCGAACCTTTACTTACCGAATAAAAAACAATGTCAAGCTTTTAGGAAAATTCTACATCTCTAAATTCTATAGACGCCTTCCAGGAAGGTATAATGATTGTGAGAGGGGACATGAACATCACATTGGATGGCCATCTGGATTCCTCCTCCACCTCTAGTGAATACCTCAACTCAGCACGCAGGTGCATGCACCATATGCTACAAGAAACACAACTGTTTGATAGTTGGAGGATCATACATCCTACTGATAGAGACTTCCTACTGATAGAGACTTTCTATTCTCCACCTACAGGCACTTACTCCCGCATTGACATGATGTTCACACACCACAGACATTTACATCTGATTTGGGAGTGTTCCTATGGAGCCATCATGTGGTCAGGCCACCCATCCCTGACTCTTGCCATTGCTATCCCTTCCCTACCCCATCCAATATCCCAATGGAAAACGAACAATCTCTTGCATAACTGCCAAGACATCGTAGACCAGCTAAAAAAGACATCTCTGTTGTATTTTGTGGAGAACAATGTAATAGGGAAGCCTACGTGGCAGGCCTAGTGGAAAATATTAAGTCATTAGAAATACAACATGTTTGGAGACAAATCCCTGGGCCTGTATAAGCTACTGACAGCTAAGAGGTCCGAACTAAAAATGCTACTCCTCCTCCAATCTATGCGCAAGTTGAGAATGACCAAACACATGTACTATACACAAGGAGGCAAGTGCAGCCGACTGCTTGCATAATTCCTCAAGCAGAACAGGCAATCCACCTTTATTCCCTCTATTAAACTACAGAATGGTATACAGACTCACATGATGGTCGATATCCTTAAAGCTTTTCATGACTTTTATACACAATTATATAACCTACGTGACAGACCACCCCCGACCCAGGAAATCCAGGATTTCCTATAAAAGAGAATTAAATCCACTAGAGCAACTAGATAACCCCATAGCTAATAGGGAAGTATGACAGACGATAAAGCATATGCCCTTAGGCAAAAGCCCAGGCCTAGATGGTTTCACTGGCAAATAGTACAGGCTCATGTCTGAGACTTTGAACCATTTACGGCCGCTTTCAACTCTCTACTGAAATCTCCCACCCTACCTAAATCTGCTCTATAAGCCACCATAGCACTACTCCCGAAACCTGGTAAAGACCCTACCAACTGCTGGAGTTATCGGCCCATATCGTTAATTAATATTGACCTGAAAATCTTTACAAAGATTTTAGCGAACAGACTGAAGGCACTGCTACTGGTATTGATCCATCCGGATCACTCAGGCTTTGTGCCAGGGAGGGAAGCCAAAACTAACACCACCAAAATAATCAATCTACTACACTGGGCTGGGAAGTCCAAGAGTATGACCACGCTCCTCACGATTGATGCCGAAAAGGCCTTTGACCGGGTGGAATGGTCATTTATGCTGAGCACCCTTCAATACCTGGGATTTGGCCCGAACTGGATGACATGGATATGAACCATATACTCCACCCCGATTGCCAGATTAAGAATGGGCAATTGTCCAGCCCAGTAACAATCGCGAATGGCACACGAAAGGGGTGCCCCCTTTCCCCCTTGATATTCATACTGGTACTCCAACCGTTCCTACAGGGAATATGGGACAACCCACACATCCGAGGATTCACTCTAAAAGGGGAAGAATACAAGGAGGCTGCATTTGCTGATGATGTTTTAGTCACAATCTCTGATCCCTTGCACACACTCCCACATTTTGTAGCGGTGATGGAACTATACCAAGGGGTGTCAAATTTTAAAGCCAATATAACTAAGTGCGAACTGATGCCACTTCACACTACCCCAGATATTAACAAAGCACTAACACAACGCTTCCAGTTTGTATGGACGGAATCAAACACTAAATATCTAGGCATCCGCCTTCCTAGACAACTGGACCATTTGTATGAGACTAACTTTCCACCACTATTGGCGGCCATCACATCTGACTTGAAAGCATGGCACAAACCCCTTTTTGGTTGGTTCGGCAGACTCAGTATTATTAAAATAAATATTCTTCCACGTACCTTGTACTTACTACAAACAATTCCCATGTCCCTCCCTAAAATGTTCTTTAAGTCTGTTCAGAAACTCCTCACCACATTCCTGT